GAAGACAAAGCAGAGGCTGACAGAGGTTGGAGGCCTCTTCAAACATGATGGATTGTTCCTTACAGTCTCCTACTCCTTGTAAGTGCTTTTAACCTTTCTTTAGATTTTTTTTCTTCAAGTAAAGCAAGATTTATGGCCACCATCTTCGTCTTCAAGCCTGCAGATTCTTCTGGCGCTCCTGCATGCTGATGTACTTACAGTCCATTATCATGCTTTCCTTGTTATCTCTCATTGAAAACCTAGTTGTGGGACGTTTTGGTTTCTAGGATGTAAGAAGGCTCCTCCAGAAAGAATTGTTCCCCCATTACTACCAGCAAATACAAAGTACATGCCTACCAGCCATGTATTAAACTGGTGTCATGGTTTTGCATTTGTTTTAAATGTCAATAAAAATAACAGAGTTTGAGGAAACAACTAAATACAACTTGCATTCACCTAAACTTTCTTAAATAAGTGTTTTTTCCGCTACTCCATGTCCACATTCTTTTGACTTATTCAATTTAAAGCAACATATTCAACAATCTGCAATGGATGGTAGAGAGAGTTATATTAATCTCTGGTTTCCATTCTACTTACAGTGTAAGCCTTTGGAGCCCCATTATTTGGACCTTACAAGTCTTTCAAAGACACATATGTAAGGATTTTCCTAGAGGGTAGCACTATTGGAAGGTGATGGCACCTATAAAAGATGGACCTAGTGAGAGCCATTGGGTGACTGCCCCAGAGAGGACAAGAGCCCTGGACTCTTCTGCATTCACTTGGCTGGATCACGGTGAGGTGAATGTTTCTGGTCCACCTCATGTATCTACTGTGGTGTGCTGCCTTGCTATAGGCCCAAAGCAAGGACAGTGGGCCATAGGATGGACTGTCATGAGCCATGAGGCAAATAAACATTTTAACTTCATAAGTTGTTGAGTCTGGGCATTTTTTGTGACAGTGGCAGAAAACTGTTAGATTTGATTGTCCAAGTCCCAGATTTTGTTTTGAATTCTTCTAACTCTTGGGAAGGTCACCTACCATATTGCTTTCAAGGTTTTATTTTATTCTATTTTATTTGAGACAGGGTTTCACGCAGTAGCCCTAGCTGGCCTTGAACTTGCTAGGTAGACCAGGCTGGCCTTTAACTCACAGAAATCTGCCTGGCTTTGTCTCCCAAGTGCTGAAATTAAAGGCATGCACCACCACACCCAGAATTCACGCATCTCTCAAAAGAATAGGAGGATAGATATTTGAGAAATGAGCATTAGAATGTTATCATTTAGCAAAACCTGAAGAAATAGTGGAAAAATAGCAATAATTATCAATAACTATTTTTTTCAAACCAACCTAATAGTACATGCCTCTCTGTATTTGTTTTGCCAAAAAAAATAATAATTTAAAAAGCCTTTAAATCTATGTTGTCCATTAGAGGAAGTCCCAGAACAGACTGCTTAAGTGATGTAATAAGCACACAACCGGACTACAGAAAACCAGGAACAGATGTGTTTCCTACCAAAAGTAAATTGCAAGGAGAGAGAGAGAGAGAGAGAGAGAGAGAGAGAACCAAGATTTGGAGACATATCAACCATTTGCAGTGTATGGTGCTTTGTCTGTGTCTTGGTTCTAACAAACTGAGTTTTGAAACATTATAATCCAGTAAGAGGAGAGTAGAAGATTCCATTAGAATAAGAAGAGAAGAGTAGATTGCATCAGTCATTTGTGTGTTAGATGGCGCAGCCAAAGAGCTCCAGGGGCTGGCTAGGGAGGAAGGGACAGAGCATGGGGTCAGAATGTAGATGTAAATTGCACTTGAGACTCTGGGCTGTTTGTGGTAATGGAGAGGAATGGCCATTAAGGGTTTGATGAGACAAGCATTGGGAGACATCCCTGGGGAAGGATGGCTGAGTGCAGTAAGAGGATGTGTTGTAGTTAGATTCAGACTCCTGATGGCAGAGAAAACAAGTGGAGAGGTGTTGGCTTGTGGTCCAAAAGTAGGGGCTCTCTCTAGATTCCCTGCCATGGGAGCCAGATGCTGCTCTGAGCTTGCAGGAAGCATCATAAAGGAGCCTTTGGGAAATTTTCCTCTATTTAAAGGGAAATTACAAATAATCCTTATTCTGTGGCCACTGTGTGCTGGGCACTGAGGTTCTTCTTGTGTATACCTAAAAAATAACTACAGCACATGTACATCTATTTGTTGTTGTTTGTATGAAACCAGTTTTCAGATGCAGAGACAAATCCTTGATGCTGCTCAGGCTGGCTTGCTTTTTAACACCACATAAATAAAGACCCTGTTGAAGAATGAAATTCTTGTTTGACAGGAAGGTAGTGACTTCAAGAGAACTGTGGTTTGTGGATACAGATAAACATCTAACTGCAGAGGCTCCTGTGAGACAAATGTTTTTGTTTGTTTGTTTTACAAATGCTTTTAGAAGAGAGAAAACATGGAATGGATAATACTAGGAAGTAAGAGTGCTGGCTCCAAGAGTTCAGGCAGAGCCAATCGGAGCTGCTTTCCCGGGACAGGGCCATCATCACCATAGGGAATCCTTCCCTGTATCTCAAAGACATAACGTTTAAAATGCCATTTCTAACTCAGCTCTGCCTTGGTTAGGAACTACAAGAGTTGTTTTCTTCAAATGCAGCAAGACACGAAAATCCAGAGCTAGAAAGTCTACTCACCTTGTGAGAGTCCACAAACCTCACAGAGATTGATTTAAGGATGTGGTCAAATACAACGAAGTATGCTGACCATTTTTAAAGTTCATCTCACAGTTCTCTATTCTTCTATCACTTGGAGAAATGGTGAATTGCTCTGCAATTCAGTTAGCAGCAGGTCCTCAAACAGGTATCCATAAGGGCAGAGAATAAATTACTAGTACCTCTAGCAGAGACACCTGTTGGGTCCAGATAAGATTTACATTTTTAGATTTTCACACTTGTGTCCATACTGCTGCCGGAGCACTCCTGTGTACCCTTAGTACCCTCACATGGTAGCAACATAACATTTTAGCCCAAATGGTTGTTTCATTTGTTAATTAAGAATGCACAGGAAGGATTTCCCAGTGAGTGTATTAATTTTAATGCCATCCAATAATCTCACAGCACCACAATAAGTGGTGCAAACAGCAAAGCATTTAACCCAAAACAGGAACCAGACAGGTTTTCAAAGCCCACCCAGGAAGTGTAGGCTCAACAGGCCCTGAGAATCCTGAGTCTCAGAATGCCAGAGCTGCATTGCGTCCTGAATGGTGGCACACATGGAGCCCAGCAAGCTGGAGTTACTGCACTGTCTCTGGCCATCCACGTGGTCTTTCTCTTCTCCCATAACCTGTCATAGATTTCTTCTTAATGTTTTCTTTTTATTTATTATTGATTACAATTTATTCACTTTGTATCCCGGCTGTAGACTCCTCCCTCATCTCCTCCCAGTCCTACCCTCCCTCTTCTCTCCCTATGCTCCTCCCCCAGTACACTAATATGGGAGGTCCTCCCCCCCTTCCATCTGACCCTAGCCTATCAGGTCTCATCAGGACTGTTTGCATTGTCTTCTTCTGTGGCCTGGCAAGGCTGCCCCCAATCCCCACCCCCACCCCCAGGCTGATAAAAGAGTCAGCCACCTAGTTCATGTCAGAGACAGCCCCTGCTCCCCTTACTAGAGAATACACATAGAGACTGAGATGCCCAGGGCTACATCTGAGTAGAGGGTCTAGGTCCTCTCCATGCATGGTCCACCAGCTTCTTTAGCAGGAGCCTCCAGCACCTCCTGGCTCTCAGAAGAGCCCGACTGCTCTTCTCCAGCACGTCCACAAGCATTTACCCACCTATTCTGTCGTGCAGGGTATTTCTTCTCAAGGAACACATTACAGGGAGAGACTGCGACTTCCGCCCACTGCAGCCCGCACTGGCCGCGTTTTGTCTCGCTCCGGGTCATCATTACAAGAATAATGTGGTGGGCACCTGCCTGGGGGGCCCTTCCAAACCACACGTGAGCGCGGGGCTGGCAGGGTCTACTCATGGGGATGCCTGGCTTCCCAAGGCGTCCCTTCCCTGGGTTACGCCCTGCCCTGCCAAGTGTCGGTAGGTGCTTGGGTGTGGCCTCTGGAGGATGAATATCAGTTGGTATAGTCCAGCCTCCGCACTTGGGTGAGGCTGAGGTTGGGGTTTCTTACCCTCTAAGGCATTGCTGGGAATGCAATATTCTGGCGGCGTTCTCTTTTCTTTCTTTTAAAATTATTAAGTAAGTCTCCCAGTCGTGGCTGCCGCCTGACTCTCCCTGGTTTGGACACCACACACACACACACACACACACACACACACACACACACACACACACCACACCGCGAGCGAAGTTACTTCTTCTGCGTCCCAAGTTCTCTTTGGACTTGTGTGCCAGCATGGAGACCTAGACTGCCTAATGACTTATGGAAAGACGAGTCAAAATTAATCAGTCCCCGCCCCAGACACGGAACAAAAAGCCCTCCCTCCGCAGGCACTGGCCTCCGGCAACCAGCAATTTCCCTGTGCCTTGCTGGACCCGGCCCGAGGGGTGGCCAAGTGCGCAGTGCACAGTCTCACCGGTGACTAACCCAGCACGAGCGCCCTTCTCCTTTCCTCTGCTCCAAACTGAGCCCCGACTTCTCGAAAAGTACCTGCCGCTTGGAGCCAGGCGTGACTCCACGCCCCCTCCCCGGGACCCCCACCGCAGCGGCGCCCCCGCATCACCCCGGGCGCTCGCCCAACCTTCCACCGCGCCCTCCTCCCCCGCGCGCCGTCGCCCCCTCCCTGCGCAGCGCTTGTACTCCCGCCACGCCGCCGCCCGCCACTGCAGCACCGAGGGGAGGAGGCGGCGGAGGAGGACCGCAGCGTGGCAGCCGGGAGCCACCTTCCCGCCCCTCCTCTCGCCGCCGACTCGCTCCGAGGAGTCACCAGTGCGCGCGCCGCAGGACAGAGTGGCAGACCCGGGCGGCCCCGGGCAGCAAAGCGGAGGGGCGCCCGCGCGGCGACGGCTGCAGTGCAGACGCGGCTCGGGGCAGAGGCTCCCCGACGGCTGGAGCGGTGAGTAAGGAAGGAGTCCCCCGCAAGCAGGACGAGAGCTCGCTCTCTCCTCGATTCCCCCTTCTGGACGGAGAGACCCAGCGAGGCAGCCGGAGAACTTTTCGCAGCCTCCCAGAAGCGCAACTGGCGCAACTTTGCGGGCTCTGGCCGGGGAGAGCGCCCGCAGGCGCGGAAGGCTGCGGCTGGCCACCCGCGGTGGGGTGGAAAGGGGGAAATCTCCCCGAGGCGGTGGAGCGACCGGGTTAACGGGCTGGGGCAGGTCAAAGGCGCGTTGTGCCCCGGATTCAGGGGCAGGTGTGTGTGGGGGGGGGCAGCGGCAGGCGTGGGGGGCTGCTCCTTCGGGCGTCCTCGGTTTCTTTATGGGGGGCCGGAGCGGGGGGGGGGTCTTCAGGAGGCTCAGGAGGGGAGACTGTTGGAAGCAGGCAGCTGGGAGCGCCTGCCACCGGCGAGCCATCGACCGCAGCCTCTGGCTCAACTTTTTCTGCGGGGGAACCTTCTGCAGACGTGCGGGCGGTGGGAAAGCCCGGGGAGCCGCGGCCGACTCTGCGGGAGGCGAACGGCACACCCGTGGGTTTTCCAACTCTTCCACCCAATCCCCACAGCCCGCCGAGGAGCCTCTGCGCGCCGGCAGGGAGAAGGCTTGCGGCGGGGAGGCGGGGAGGCGCGCCGCGGCCCTTTGTAAGAACGCACGCTTCTCTCACGCGGCGCCTCCATTCACCAACCCTACAGAGTCCGCGGTGCGCCTGGGGCGGCGAGGCGCATCCAAGAGAGCGGGGTTCTCGAGAGAGGGCCGTCCCCAGCAAAAACTGGTGATGAGGATGTGAAGCAACAACTCCTACTACCGAGGTCTCTAATTTAAGGCCAAAGAGGAAATGGGCGCAGCCCACCATCTTCTCTCGGTGGACCCCCGGACGGAGAGCACTTTCTCCTGCCGGGCTGGAACGCCTCTGGCCGGGCGGGAAAGATCAAAGAAGGCCGGGATGAACTTGGCCGGGAAGCCAGCACCCCGCCGCAGATGCAAGGAACGTCTCTGTGGGCGTGCGGGAACCTCGGTCGCCGCGCGCGGGGGCGGAGAGGGAGGAGCTGAGTCACCAGCTCTGGAGGTGCCGCCTGGACCACGACAGCGGGGGTGGGGGCGCTCGCGTCACCCTCTACGTGTGGGCGTGATGCAAGTACAGCCCGGCGAGGGGCGGGCGCGGCTGGAGGGAGGGCTGGGAGACCAGCCTGTCTGGGAGCGCGCGCTTGTGCGTCAAAGGCACCCGGGTGATGGATGCCCGCTGGCGCGTCCTGTGCAGACAGCAGCGACTGGAGGGGCTGGGTGGGAGCAAGGACTGCGGCAGGGCCGAAAGGGAAAGCCGGGCCCGGTAGAGGCTGCGGGCAGGCGAATGGCTCTGCAGTGCGCCGCAGTGGTGGCGCTGGGTAGGCGTCGTCGCAGCGACCAGGGTTCCCCTGGGTACCGAGACGTGAGGCATCCTTGAAGTCTCTGAGGGATGCCCCAACGGTCCGTTCTCCCGCCGGACTCCCTCCCTTCCTGCTTAGCTGTTTGACTAAGAAAAAAAAAAAAAAGCTTTCCAGTTTAGTTCTTGTCCTTGGTGTGAGACAGTGCTCTCCCGGAGTCCATTCGTTTTATCTTAGCAAGCTTCCAAAGGCCTAGTGCTCAAGTTTTCAAGCAAAAGCTTTCATGGTTGAGTTCATCAGGTTCCCTAAGGCCAATCCATTCCTCACGGCTTTAGGCGTCTGGTGTCTAAGTGGCATTTGAGGCTTAGACAACAACGTGGCACATTTTATTAACCATAAAAAAGTGCATGTTAAAAGAATTGTTGATTTTTGTGCTCCTTGAAGGAAAATTTTAAAATGAATCCTTTTTTTTTTTTTTTTTTTTTTTTTTAAGACTACATTCTGGGAAGCCTTGACTGAATGAATGCAAATTTGTAGTATGTGACAAAGGGAAGAAAGGGGGTGGAAGATTGGCAGGGAAGAAAGGGGAGAGGCAGAAAAGTAGCCATCAAGAAACCTAGACAAAGATCTGGCTTCCCATTTCTCCGTACCTAGAACCTCCCTACTGGCGTCCATCCTCCACGGCAAAAAACAGTAAAAGCCATCTCATGGCAGACTTCATTTCCTCACAGAGTTGTGTTCAGACAGCCTTGGAAGCACTAGAAAATATGAAATAAACCCCTTCCAGAAATAAAGAAAACGGTTTTCTTTAAAAAAAAAAAAATGGAGCCTTTCCCAGCATTGTTCCTTTAATGAAATTTAATGTCCAGTGTCCACACATGCAGACAATAGTCTTTTCCTGACACTGATGTAAAAGCAGTGTCATTAGCTGCTGTCCGGAGAAGGCAGGAGCGGACGAAAAGGTCTGGAGGACATCTGGCTGCTTTGGGTGATGTAGTAGAGAAATAAATTTACTTTCGTGGGTCCTTGACAGGGAAAGTCGTTTCTCTGGCCTCACTAATAGATTAACCTAAGAGCTTCTAGGTAAAAATTGTGATTATTCTGTAATATTTCTTAAATGGCTTCAGGGAGCACGATGCAGTTTCCATCCTCAGGGAGATTACCGAGAAGATGTCATGATGTGCCGCATGTCACATGATCACCAGAAAACCCATTTGCTGAGGACCAGAAATGTGAGCGCTTGTCCCGAAATACATTTGTTGATGACACGTTTTATGAATAAAAGCATCTGGCTTGTCAGTGCGTCATCTTGGCCAGCTCACTCTTGCTGTCCATCTTACCACCCCTAATGGCAGGTTTCTTGGGATGGTGAAAGTGAAAACGCTCTCCTGAGCCTATGCAGTTGCCATTAGGGGAGAAGCCACAATCCACTCGTGTGTTCCGTGATTGCTGCGGTTTCTCTCTGACGCACGTTCACAGAGTCTGTTTGGACTCATCCTTCCTTTAGGTCCGTTTGCAAGGGCGAGAGGGGCAGGTCTTCACCTCTCACACCATCCAGCCATTTACAGTTTTCTCTCATCACTGCATTACTATTATTGTTACTTTAAAAAGTATCTTTACAATTGAGAATCCAATGTAACATTTTGCAGCAGACTGAATCAGGAAAGTCTTTCCTGAGACAGCTAAGAATAACAAGAGGATGTGATTACTATTTAACTCTTGCTAGAAACATCTGAATGGTACATGAGACACTGTTTGGTTTTTATCACAAAAGTCCCCACAGCGAGGGCCAGTTAGTGATCATTGCACATCATGGCAGCTGACACTGTTGAGCAAGTTGAACAATATGAAGTAAACAGATAGATTGAGTGAATTGGATAGTTTGCTTCTAAAATCTTTCATGTCAAGAAACAGAACAAATATGTGTTATATGTTAAATTTGAATTTTTTAAAGTAGAATATAAGAAATATTTTTATTAATTCATTGAATGTACATGGAGCTCTATTTTTGTAGAAGAAGTGGTCCATTCAATTCTGCGTTGTGCCCTTTAGGGTATGTATAGCCTAATTTCTAATTAAACAATTTCCAAAGCTTATTTTTTTTAGCATGTTATTATATTTTGTTTGTTCTGTTATTTCTACAACTAAGATAGGATATAAATACCTCACTATTTTAGCTTTCAGTTTTACAGATATCTTACGATATCTGCTTTACATGATACCATGTGGGTTTTTGCCCAGCTTAAAAGCTGGGGTGAAATACATACAACATAAGTGCATTATTGTTACCACTTTAGGGTAACATTAAGTATGTTGATCCTGCTGGGCAGCCATCACCGCCAGCACTCAGAAGTGTTTCCTCCCGCCTTCTAAAGCTGAGACCTGCCTCAGCTGAATGACAGCCACCATGCCACCCTCTGTCCTCATGACTGTGAGCACTCTAAGTCTTTCATAGAAATGGAATCCTGTAATATTTGACTTTCTGTGCTTTCCTTATTTCCCTTGGCATAATTTCCAGAAGTTTTAATGCATATTGGAATTTCCTCCCTTCCTAAGACTGAATGATACTCCATGTGTGCATAGATCCATTTACCTTTGGACACTTGGAGTACTTTTATATGTTAAGTATTATGAATTGTGATCACCCATCTTGATATACAAAGTCCTGTTGAGACCAGGCTTTCGGTTCTTTGGAGCAAATATCCAAAAGAAGAGCTGCTGTTTCGTGCGTTAATTATCTTTTTACTTTTTGAATAACTGTTAGACTATTCTCCACAGTGATTGTGACTTTTTACACTGCCCTCTACAGTGAACAAAAGTACCAGTTCTTCTCCAAAACAAACAAGTATGAGTTCATTTTCTGGTGTGCGTGTGTGTGTGTGTGTGTGTGTGTGTGTGTGTGTGTGTCTGTGTGTGTGTGCACGTGCACACGAATGCCAGAAGACAGTGTTAGATATCTTTTTAGTTATGCTCCCTGCACGTTGTTTTTGGGACAGGGTCTCTCAGGAAGCCTGAAACGCACTGTTTCAGCCAGATGGGCCAGAGATCTCCATGGATCCTGCTGTCTCTGCCTCCCCGTTCTGGGATTACATGTTCATGCCACCGCACCCAGCCGCTTAGGTGGCTCAAGCTGGAGGTGCAGAAGCCTCTACACCATTCACGGAAGTGCTCGAGACAGAAGGGGCAAGGCAGTTCCCTGTCACGTCTCTCTGCAAGGCAGGGAATCCCACTCGTCATAGCAGCAGAAGGCCCAAATTGGTAAAACAACATTCTGGAATGAAATTCCAGATATGAACTGGAGGCAGCATCTGACTGCAGCAGGTGCATTTATGCTACAACACTGCTTGTTGTTTACGTGAAAATTTTAAATTGTCTCGGATCCCTGGATTTTTATTCGCTAAGCCCAGCCAATCTCGTATATAATGCTCATTAATTTCACCATTAAAAAAAATGAAATGAAAGAAGCTGGGTTGAAGGCTTAGCTAGCAACACTGCTCGACGTACTCGGGTCCGTGTAAAAGGCGTGGTGTGGTGATGCACATGGCTAAACCCAGCCCTGGGAAAACAGGCAGGGCAGTGCCTAGAGTTCAGTGGCCAGCCAG